GTACAACTCATGGACATGAACTAAGGCAAGGGAAATGATGGTGGGAGAGGGGATGCAGGGAGGAAGGGAATAAAGAGTAGGAAAAAATGGGACAACTGTAATAGCACAAACAATAAAATATATTTAAAAACCCAAAATATCCAAGTCAATAAAGTTATTGGTGAAAATAAAAATAAATAAATAAAATAGCCAAGATTTGGAAACAGCCTAACTGTCTATCAGTAGATGAGTAGATTTAAAAAATCCCGTGGTAGGTTTAAACAATGGAATACTATATAGCAGAAAGAAAGAATGAATTCCTTCATTTTACAACAGCATGGATGGAACTGGAGACTATTATGCTAAGTGAAATAAGCCAGGCAGTGAGAGATAAATAGCATATGATCTCACTTATAAGAGGAATCTAATGAACAAAATATACTAATGAGCAAAATAAAACCAGAGGCATAGCAACATGGAACAGACTGACAGCTGTAAGAGGAGAGGGCATAGGTGGGGACTGATAAAAAGAAGATGAAGAGGTTAGTCAAAGAACATATATGAAAGACCCATGGACATGGACAATGGTGAGGGACTGATTATGAACATGGAGGGAGATGGGCTGGTTAGAGGGGGGCAAAAAGGGAAAATGGGGACAACTGTAGTGGCATAAACAATAAAATATTTTTTAAAAGAAACCACAAAGATGCCCAGTGTGCTGGCACATGATATATAGACAGCAGAATTGAAGTAGCATAGCACTGTAGAGAAGGTAAAGACCATGCCATTGACAAAAGCAACAAAAACAGACAAATATGTAGAAATAATCTCAAAAAGAAATGTCAAAAATGGTTATGAAGAAAACATCACCAAGCGGTAAAAAGGATCTAAATAAATATGACTAAGTGGGAAAATTGAAGATGCCAATCCTTGCCAATTAATCCACAAACTAAGTATAATTTCAATCAAACATAAAAAATAAATTCTGCAATAAATGATACTGGTATAATGAATCAAACATTTAGGGAAACATTAGGCACAAAGTCAACCTAAAACTAAATGTATATACACATGCAAACACACAAACACACTACTAGTAGGTTAAAGGGGCTAACACTATTAAATAAAAAGGAAACTTTTTATTTTGGAAGGAAATATAGGTAAATGTTTTCTAAACTTAGAGTGTGAAAGACTATCCTAAGTAAAATGAAAATATAAAACTCCAACAGGACTTTTTTTCCTAAACATATGGAAAAAAACTTGCTTTTCTCTCATACAAATAAGGTAATTTTGGTGTGGGAAGAAACCAGGCCCCAGTTTCCAATGGTTCTAAATAAACAGTGTGAGGGTTACAAAGTCTTCTGTGAGCCAGAATATGTCTTGACAAAGAACCTAGGGCAAAAGCCTGCTCACAAGCACCAACATACCCCTCCCTGCCATAGACTACCCAGGGGTCTGAGTTTCCTAAGTCAGAGGTTCCAGGGAGAAAGGAGTTTGCCTCAGGAGGATGTCATCATTAAGAGGCCACAGAAGGAATGCTCAGCTGGATGCCTGAGGATCCCAGAATGTGCCACTCTGTAGCCTAAGAATGTTGTGATAGATGATGCTGGGTTAATTGGTTACCCATCTGGAAAAAGAAGTAAAGTTGGATCACTACCCACCAAAGAGTGGAGGGAAATTACAGAGTGTGAGGTAGTGCATACAGTATGTGTAACAGACAAGGGATTGGCCATGGGATTAGCAAGACTGTGCTGAACTCAAGAGTGGCACCCACCTGGATCTTAGACCAATCAGTGGCTCCTAGAAGGGAGCAGGGAACAAGGAGTCCTCCATACAGCTGTCACTCTTAAGTAAATGGTGCTATGACAGCGTTTAGATTGACTTGTTGAGGATTATGCATATTTGTGGTGGCATCTCAAAATGAGGGGATTGTGGTTGAAACTACTTTCTAGAGTGGCATATAGGGCCACGGTGAGAATGCAGAATTTGAGACTGGATGCATCAACTGGGAAACTGGATGTCTGCAAACTTGCCTGCACTTTTGTGGGGCGTGGGGGCTGTATGTGTGAAACCATAGAATTCTCAGGAGAAGTAGGAGGCTAGGGAGGGGCACTGGAAATTGATGTGGTATCTACAGGCACCAAATATAGATGTAATAATGAGATGAAAAGAAGAAAAGCCAAGGTCCTTTCTGGTACTAAAGGCAGTTGGTCTGTGGCAACAGGTCCAGATTTACACAATAGACAGCTTAGGCTGGGGCTCACCCATTAAGGCAAGGCACCTCTACACAGAGTGACAAGGTCAAGCTTTAATGACCATATCAAATGTTTAACATTGGGAAACCCAGTAAGAAGCTCTGTTATTTGCAGCAGGCAGGTAAGTTAAGTTTTGTGCTTGGAGGTCCCTTGCTGTTTCATTTTTTTTCCTTGCTGTTTCATTTTGAATTCAGTGTGAGAGGGGGTGCCATAGTCTTTCAAGGTGGAGAGCCTCTGAGTATCTTAATCAGACCCTGACTTACATGTATGGTCCCAACTATCTTCCACATTCCCCAGCAGAATCCACTGGGAGCTGGGCTTCTGCCCTAGCACAGAAGCCCACCAAGGAATAAAGGGCAAACCAGGGGCCTGAACTTTCACACACAGGGAGTGTCTCCAGAAAGGCAGTGCCAGAAAATAGATTGGAGGCCCTTGGCTTGGGCCACACCATGCAGACACTTCAATGCTGGTAGGTCTCCCTGTGACAGAAGTGGGCAGAAAGTATCTGAGGCCCTTCTTGTGTTGGAAGTTGTTGTGGCCTGCAAGCACCAAGTGTCTCCCAGAGATGGGGGGAAGCTGCTTGAGGTATAACAAAAAGAGGAATTTAGCAGAGCACAAAACAGGGAGGTATGTATTAATTTGGAACCCTGAGACAAGAGGAGGGAGAAAACCCTCTGCCTTTGTGCTGAGATTAAAGAGGCTGAGTAATAAGGTGTCACTGACAACTGCATGGGCCAAGCTCACTGCATTGGAACAAATAGAGGGAGGAGCTGTCTGCAGGGCAATTTTATGTGGAAAACAGATTGCCCAGCTCACCTGAAGCTTGCTTAGGAGTAGAAGATGGTCATATTAGCAGCTCTTAAGAAACAAGTCAGGGACCCAGAGCCAACAACAAAAAACCCCGGGGCATGATCCTTGGTGGTGGTGTGGTGCCAATGGAACTTCAATCACATGCCAGCTGAGGTAGCATCCCCACTCCTGGATGGAGGATCCTTGAGATGGCCTGGGGACCTGACAGGCAACCATGCCCACTAGACAGTTTGAAGCATAGGACATGGGTACAAGCAGGAGAGCTGCAACCTACCTGCAGCCCCAACTCTGGAAGAAGGAAGAAAAACTATGCTCTCTATAGAGTAGAATAGTCAGGAGGCAGAACACTTAGAGAGCATTGATGGCTGGGGAACAGTGGCCCAGAGTAGCATCCCAGGAGATCAAAAGAAGGCACCAGACACAGAAGCAGTACTGTCCAAAGGAAGCTTCTTGTCCACTGAGTTATCCAGAGCTTTGAGGGACAGCAATATAGCTTGACACACCCAAAACATGCATGAAACCTAGCTTAGGTGAAATAATGTCTAAGGTTTGTTGACATGAGTCTGGAAATAAGTTGCTTATTTCCATGGAGTGGCTCAGTGGGCAGGGTTGGGTTCTTTCTTTCTTCCAATGGAGGATAGAGGGGAGGAAGTATCTCCTGATCAATGGACCAGCCACAGCCATTCCAAGCACCCTCAGCAGCTGCCCTACGACCCCCTTAGGAAGTTTGTGGAGAACTCTGCTCTCCTCTTCCTGGATCTCACTGAAGGTACCAAGGATGGTGCAAAAAGGTAGTTCCACCAAGGAAAGCAGGGGCCAACCAACTCTTCTCACTCTGCCAGGAATTTCACCTTGGGATTCCAAGGAAGGGAGAGGGCCTGGAAGTAGGTTTAACAGCTACTTTCCAGAAGAGAGAGAACAATACAAAGCGGGCACGCAGCAAGTGGAAACCATTATTGCTATATCGTCCATTAATTGCACAGGGATGGGTTGCCCAGTGGCCCCTGGGGATGTGTAGGTGAGCCCAAGGATACTGACATTTTGCTCTAGGCTGGCAGTCAAGTAAGACAGCTTCATCAAGGGATTTCTTGTGCCAGGTGCCAGGCACTGTGCATCATGCTTCACAGGTGTCATCTCTTCTAGTCCTCCCAAAATTTTATCCTAATTCCACCAAACCCCCTTCATACCCCCCACCTGCCCCCAACCCTTTGTTGAGGTTTATACTCAATGCTGCAGCCCATCTCTACCCCTGCCTCCTGCAGGCAGTGATAAACATGTGTTTATCAGAGCAAATGCCCCCCTCCCTCCATCCCCCACCCCACCCATCTAGTTATCATTTATCCTGTAGTTTTGTCTTTCTGTTCATGCAGACTGTCAAACCAAGAATAAGTACCATGTCTCATTTTTGCCAGCCAAAGCACACAAGTTTATTGATGAAACATAAATGTAGACTTGGGTGGATGAGGTTAAGTCAGTACAGCATATAGAAAGGGAGTGCTTTTTTCTGATGAATAGGTTCACCATCTATCAGCTGGTGTAAAAGAGAGTCAAAGAAAAATAATTCAACTTATGTAGGAACAAATGCATTCCCAACATAAAACAGTCCAGTTTAGACAGGGAGACTACAGCAGGCAAGCATCCTTCATGATGCTTTATCCACAGCTGGCAAATGAAATGAGCCCTTTACCACAGGACCAAGTGAGGGAGTGATTTACAATGCACATTGCCTGTAGACTGCAAAACCAAGAAGTTACTCAAAGCTCTGTGGGAATCCCAGCCAGGCCAATAAGAGTGTGGTCCTCAATTTAGCAGGCCTAACTTTCACACCATGATGTGGTTATTGGCTAAGGCTGGATCTTCTATAGCACCCACTGCAGAGTCTTTGAATGAGAACACGAGTGTGTTCACAAAACAGGTTTTGGGTAGATTCAGTCCCATTCTGTTCAAGGAGGTCATTTAAGAGGACAGGGTGTCCAGAAGAACCTGTCTCTTTCTGTTCTTGATAAAGAGGAACATGAATGAGAGTAGCATTTGGGTACCCAGCAAGTTCCCTGCAGAGACTGGCTTTTTAGACAAACTCATCAACAGTGTGAAAACCTGAACCTCAGCACATCCACTTCCTTCTGATATCAAAGGAAATCTCAGGTCTGAAATGGACTTGGGAGGCATGTTATTAATAATTGTCATGCTTATTAACAAATTTAACTCGACGTGCTGCAGAAATGAGTTGCAGCAATGTGACGCAGTTTCCTGGCACAATTCATTAATGAACATCTTAATCTGACACTGATTTTCCACACTGGCATCCACATTATCCGGGGCACACAAAGTATCCTTAATTGTGGGATTGGGAGTGGGGATCTGCTCCGGCCCGCGGAGCAATCAACTGGGGCTCGACCACCTACCTAGAACAAATGAGTTGGGGGGACAAGAGGCGCGAACAATGGCAGCAAGACAAAAGATTCTGATCAAGCTGCAAACTTTATTTTTCCAAACTGGGTATATATATATAGGGGGGGAGGGAGAGATTAGGTTGCTTGCTATTGGCTAGCTTGAGACAAAGAAGGGCCCGCTTATTGATTACTTGGGTGCAACTGGTACTCGTGGACACCTCATGTGCCTGTAGCTGATTGGCTTGTGGAGCGCATGCACAACTCATGTGCCTGTAGCCGATTGGCTTGTGGAGCGCACAGGTTCCTGTAATCAATGCAATGTTTTTAGCTAGAAGCCAGGTGTAAGGTTCCCAACAGGGATCATGTTTCCAACAAGGGAGACACTGACCAAATGACTATTGACATTGTGGCTAAATGAAAAACCAGCACCCTCGGGTTGAGCAAAAAACATGTTTCCTTGAATAAAATGGCACTTGAAGAGATCAAGAGCATAACTGAAAATTTTAAAGCTTTTAGCACTACAATTATTTTTGTGTTCATATGGGAATGGATGCTGTCTTTCTGGGTGTGTTCGATTCGCCCTGCCCCCACCGAAAGGTCTGTGTTCAGTTCCACCAGGTGCTGTCCAATCCCCATCCTCATTCCAGAGCTGAGCCATAGTTGTGAAATCAAACCACATCTCAGGCTCTTCTTCATCCAGCTCTTGGTCATCTTCCCATTCCTCTTCCTCCTCCTCCCACTTCTCTCTGTCATTTCTTCCTATGATTAGTTTGCAAATACAATAGCAGGCACCAGCCCCAATCATCAGTCCTGCTGTCATCCAACCCACTTCCCGAGCCTGCCCCATGTTCAAGTCTGTGCCAGCCTTGTGACAGGAAAAGAGAGGGACTTTTCCCACCTGAATGAAGAGGAATCTTAGGGCCAGCAACTGTAATTGTGTAAAGTAGTGGTCTTCAGCCTCTCCCAGGCTCCTGTATTTATCTTGTAATGAATCTATGGGTGAAAAAAATAGTATTAGGGCTTTGGGCTGTGTCTGACCAAACAGAGTGTAGTTTGAGTTCTGGTTGAGAGAGGTGGGTTATGAGGAAACTATTTCTCTCTCTCTCTCTCTCTCTCTGTGCGTGTGTGTCTGTGTTAGAGAGAGAGAGAGAGAGAGACCCTCCCTCTAGCCTCAGGATCCACCATTTTTCTTACAGGTCCCAGAGAAAAGGGTAGGAGTTGGGGTTGGGCCATGATAGCTAGGAGGATGAAATGGAGAAGCTAACCCTCAGGTAGTCTCCTCCTACACCACATTGCTACCCCCAAAGATTCACAGGCAGTTTCTCCCGCCACCCTCTACCAAAGTCAGGTAAATTCCTTCTCCTTTCCTTGTCTTCTGTGTCATTGCACAGTGATTGTTGGAGAGTCTGGCAGAAGGACTGAAGGACAGACGGAAAGGCAGCCAGCAGTGAAGAACTGAAAGTGTATTGCATGGATCACCACTTAAAACACAGGTCCCAATACTCGTTTTTCAAATTTTTCAGCTTTTGATTTGAAAATATTTCTCACTTCTCTGGGCTTTCCTTATCCGGGCTTTCCCCCACCCCTCTTCTACCCCGCCTCTTGTCCTCCGCCATTTCCCCAGCATAGGCCGCCACACCCCTTTCCATGCACCTAATTGGGAGGAAATGTGGAGAAAGAAGGGACCGGGAGAGGGCGACTGGGATTGGCCCGCAGGAATCCCAACCCTCTCTACAGAGCCAACTCCACCCAGGATCCAGGGCTTATCCCACCGTCACGCTGACCTGCAGGGTCCCAAGAAAGTTTGCTCCTTCCCTCGCCTCCACTTTTGCAGCGACCTGTGGGCCAACAGACTTACAAACCTGCATACAGATTGGGGACTAAGGAGACAGAGTGCTGGGTGGACTGAGCAGCACTAGGGATAAGAGTGCCCTGATTGTGGACCCTTTCTTGCCGTCTCAGTAACCGCCATTCACTCCCCTCACTACCCCGCCAGAAGCCTGACAGTTCTCTACTAAAATGGGTACGGGGATTAGCGAGTGTGGAGCTGGTATTTATAAAGGAGGTGAGAAAGGGATACAGCTCCAATCAGCCGGAACCTGCATCAGTGGCGCTCTTGGCCCTCTCCCACTCTCACCTCTCTCCAAGCAGAGCTCACACGCGCACCGACCTGCACAGTCCGAGGCTAGTTTCCTCCTTCCTTCAGAAGCCTGCAGAGTAATAGAGGGCTGGTACCCTGACAGAGGTGACTAGCAGGAGTTCAGCTCTAGGCAGCTCTTGGTCACGTGACAATCACGTCAACAGTGAGTTCTGGCCCCCAATTTCCACTCTTTAAACAGTGCGACAGGCACCAGCGTGCCCCGTGCTGCCACCCATCACACTTTTCCCCATCACTCTTCCTCTACAACAAAAGCAGAAACCAGAAGTCATGGCTTTCTGGTGTTTGAATTTGGCTTTCTTCAATTACAAGAAGGAGCAGCATCTTTTCTTGGGTCTGCCGTTTACTTATGCTTTTTGGAGAAATGTCTTATCCTTTCCTTGACTCCGAAATTCCTGTGTCCCTCTCTTAATTTTCACCTCTTTCCACATGCAGTCACTGCACCAAAATTGTGGGGCAGGTGGTCAGAAAAGGAAGTCCAAGTAGTAGTGAGGTTTTTATTAATCTTTTTGATACATTTATGTTCTTTTTTCCTTCATTTTTTATAGACTCAATCTATAATACTGTAATCAGAAAAGTAATACAGCTGTATCACTTGGAAAAATAGAATTTAAGTACCTATATGTATATCTATACTTATAAAGAATCCCCAGTTAATAGGGAGGCCACGTTCATTTGATTAATTCTTACTGCATTAAAAATATTTTCTTTTGACTGCACCAGAAATAGCAGCTTTTAAACAGCATATTAATATTTAAAAGCATGTCCTTGAAAATAAAACCAGTGTGCTTTTGTTATGATTTATAAATTGATGGATAACATAAATCAATAGTGAGGTGGTCAGTGTTTTAATTATGACCAGTTTGAATAAGTGAACTTCTATCCCTTTCTTTTTCCTGGCTGAACTCATAGTATTAGGTGTCAGACTACTGGGATTTTCATAGAAGACTGCTGGATGGCTTTCCTTCTGGCTTCAAAGGACAGACTATATGCAGACTCCAAATTCAAATGAATCACATATCTTCAGATGCACCTTAAAAAAATAGTAACTCCACAGATCAGCCTGCTCTTCTTTCAAAGTTCTTTATTTAAAATCTTGTATGAAGTTGTATGATGTAACCCATATATTATCCAGAAATTACAGAATTCCCTATTATCCCTTTGATAAAGTGAGACTCAATAGATGGACTTTTCATTTAATCAGGACCCTGGTCCAATATCTGTGGTATCTGCTATTCATGTTCTATGTCATCCTAGCAGTGGTTACTATTGTGCATCTTCCAGTGGAGATAGTGGTGAGGGTCCGTGGGTGTCTGTAAATCACTGTAACACCCCTGAGATCTATGTCATTTTTCCCTCACAAAAAGCACAGTTCACAGGGTCCCAAGAGCTCGCTAGGAGAAAGAGGCCTTTTCATTTACTGACTTCTGTTAAAATTTCACTGAACCATCCCTACAAACCCCTCAGAATAATCCCAGAACTCAGGGACAAAGTATGCAGAAGTTAGTCCCCAGACATTCAGCTGTCCCTGCTAGGGAGTCATACTCTAAATATAGACCCTTCAGGCAGCCTCATTCTTAGAATATTGAAATATGACACTCCACTAGGAAGCTCCCCAGTGAGATGCCATGTGGAGGGAGGTTTTTCCGGAGGTGAGCCAGAGAGCCTAGAGTGCCTTGCTGGTGAACGAATACTCAGAAGTCAAGAACATGTGCACCTTTCTGATCTTCCTTGAACTTTTATAATCCAAATTTACTCACCAATCACTCCCTCTCTCTAAACCCCTACTTCATTTATTTTGCCACCTTTGCTTTATAATGTTATTTTTCTCACCCTTTAAACAAACCTTGAATATTCAACTGTCAACTTTTTGCCTGCTAAGTACTTACATAAGTAGCTTTTTATTTGTTTCAAATACATGCATGAGAAAGAACAAAGGAGCATGTAAAGCTTAATAAAGCTTCAAAAAATTCCATTCTCACATTTTTTTCCCAGTATAAAATAAATCCACCTTTGGTATATTTTCCAATTTTTCCGGTGTGTAACCTGTGACCACCATTTTCCCAGTCTGTCAGACCTTCCCTGTTTGAATCCGCTCCCTCTCTAAAACTTCCTAAACCCCACAGGAATAAACCTTTAAATTCTCTTACTGTTTTGTCATTTTCTTCTACAATTCCTAACAAGAAACCTTGAGACTAGTGTTTAAATTCTACTTGGCTATCCATTCTACATTCATTAACATTTTAGGGTATGTTATTTGCCTAACCATTTCAAAAGTGAAAAAGTAAAATCCTTAAGCAGTTCTTCATAACATTCCTGAGCCTGCAAAAGACTATGGGTAGCCACTGGCAAAAGGCTTAAATCAGTATGTCATCGTATGTGACATGTAACCTATAAAGTGTCTAAAAACAAACACGCAAACAAAAGATAGGAAGATGGTAACACTAAAGGAATTGTCAAGGGCGAGGAAAAGAAATTATAGAAGATTGTTATCTTAAAAAGCTATATTGCTTTTTATATTTTGTTACTTATATTTGTACTGTGTATTAGTTGATTTTGTTTGGTTGCAAGCAACAGAAACCAGACCTGGTGAACTTAAACAACAAAAGGATGTTGAAAACCAAGATCACCTCTGTGGGGTCTAGGCAGGAAGAATTGATAGACTCTTTCAGGTGCCATAATTCCACTTATTTTCAATTTTATCAAGATTTATAGTTTTAGTAAAAGAGTATTTAAGATTTAATTAAGAGAGTATTGAATTGGTCTGTATTGGGTACAATGACCACTCTTTAGCTGTGGAAAAGTCAGGGTATGTAAAATATAAAGTACACTTCCTTTCTTTTCCAAGAGAGAAATTTGAACTGTTTCAGATGTTGTCGATTTGCAGGATCCTTTTAATAACTTTGGATATTAACCCATTGTCCAACTGTGACGGAGGTCCTAGGGGTCTACTTGCCACAGCATGTGTTTAATTTTCACATTAACTGAACATTAAAGAGGTACAATTCTAAAATGCTGATGCACAAGTTTCTAAGGCAAATCTACCTGGTTTCCCTGACAGGATTCCACAGAGTTGCATGTATAGTTCAAGGTTTTGTCCTCATTGTTTTATGATCAACCAACTGATTTTGTCTGTATTCTCAGAATAGATGCTCTGTCAAGGAAAGATACTCATTCATAGACATATATAAATCTAGATCTGAATACTCAAACCATGGATCTCTACCTTCTCCTATAATTAGGTCATAAGGGAAGCTCTTTCAACAGGAGTTACACCTGAATAATTTACCCTGAGAAGTATATCTGTCAGGAGTATTGGAGGTTTCTGTCAATTTTACCAGCCCTTTATTTTCCTGTAGGCAAGCTACAACTTGGGAAACCATACCTCAGGAAGTTGCTGGGTGAGCCTGTAATAAGAGCAAGGAATTGGTTCACCTTAAGAAGTAGCTTTCCACCCTGGCTGGTGTGGCTCAGTGGATTGAATGCCAGCCTGCAAACCAAAGGATTGCAGGTTGGATTCCTGGTCAGGGCACATGCCTGAGTCGTAGGCTAGGTGCCCAGTAGGGGGTGCACGAGAGGCAACCACACATTGATGTTTCTCTACCTCTCTCCTTTCCCCTCTGTCTAAAAATAAATTAATTAAATCTTTTTGTAAAGAAATGGCTTTCAGCTAAGGAAGCTTGAAGTACTCTTTCCAAGAAGAGGTAAATGTTCCAGTCATGTTAGCAAATTCTCCCTCTCCTTCAGACAGTGGGAACTACCATTTTCTTCTGACTCTCCTTTTCATATACTCTGTGCTTAAATGAGCTCCTTCACTGCACATGATCTTTCCCTAAACACAGAATCATATAGTTGTTTTGGTTTCTCTTTACTAAATTTCAGTCATTTTCTAGTACTGACTTCCCAGAAGTTGTGTTTATGTGAATTTCCATGGAGTTTTGCTTGTTCCAAAACTTCCCAGTCTCTTGATTTACTTTCACATTTTCCAAGGATTTAAAAAGCTACACTGAGATAATAACCTTATATCTGAACTATTAGGGAATATCCTACTGCAGACCCCATGTTCTGATGTTATTTTATTACTTTCCCCACTATAAAAATGATCATTGCTGACAGGTGAATCATTGAGTTCATCAAACCAGTTGGTGAAATGTTTTCCCAGTAATTGCTAGATGCTAGTTCAGCTAATTTTCTCTTGGTCTCAGTGTTCCTCTAAAACATTTTTTATTGAAAGATAATATTCTTTATTTGTACCCAAATATATTTTGTAATGTCCTTTGTATCCACTCACTTTGTCAGTTGTTCATGCCTGTTCATCTGACAGATAGTCACTACACAGTTGTGGTTTCTACTCAAGCTTTTTTGTGTTACTGGCTTCTGAGGGTCCCATGCTTCTTCCTGGTTAACTGAAGCAAGTAGAAGACTGTAGCTCACCTGTTTAGAAGACTGGGCTAGTCAGAAGAATTACACATTCTCAGACACACTGATTAGCTCATTCAGGGTTGTGTTATCTGTTAGGCCCTAGAGGACATTAAGATCCCTTTGAGTGACAAGTATAACACTCCCCACAAGTGGAAAAATATGGAGCTCTTGGAGGTCATCTACTCAATATCAGTCTCCAACTCCCACTTTTTCTTCCCCCTCAAACGAGAGCTTTATAGTAACCTTTCTCATGAAAAGAATGCAGGCTGGGGTTGGGAGAGTGGAGAACAAAAAATATTAAGAAAGTAAAAAACACTCTCACTCCAGGTCTCCTTTTTTGATTTTTGTTTGTTTTAGATCTGGGACTAGATTTCAGAGGAAATGGTAGACATTAATAGTTTGGAGGAGGGGAGGTGGAAGAAGAGGTCGCTGTCCCAGGAGCCTAGAGAAGAGAAAAGCAAATTTTTCAAAAAGTACAAGTGGCCAGTAGCCCTAACGGAAGATGCCGTCATTTTCTGGTAATCAGAGGAAGGCAAACTCAACTACTGGGAGGTGGGATTAGCAAAGAAGAAACAGTAACAAGGCCTGGCGTGGGGGAGGAAATGAAGCGGGGCGGGTCCTTTTCTGCCGCACTGCTGGTGGGAGGGGAAATTGAGGACCAGACTTTGTGGATGACGTAGCTCTCACGTGACCAAGAGCTGACGTGTGCAGAAGTCCCTCTTGTTCTAGTCCTTGTTCCGTCTGAGTACCAGCTCCCCACTGCCCTGCGGGATAGCGGGCCTGTTACAGAGGGAAGAACGAGAGGAAGAAGGAAATTGTTCCGGATCCCGGAAGGTCAGTGCCTGGGAGATTCCATGAAGTGTGGGTGGTCCAGGGTGTAGGGCGGAGACCGTCGCGGGTCCTGAGACACCTCCGTTGACTCTCCCACTCCCCCCCCCCACTTTCCAGGACATCTGTCCTGCCTGCAGCCCTTGTCCATGCTGCAAAACAGTGAGCAGGGAGGTGTTTGGGGAGCAGGCCAGAGATCAGAAGGTGGAAATCTGCTAGGAGCCGAGACCGTAATCCGGAAAGGGAGCTGTGGCCTTGGTATTAGCTCTCAGTTCTCCAGAATAGTGCCGACTGGGAAAGGTTGGGCATGGGCGGGGGAGGTGGGGGTGCAGCGTGATGTGTCAGCAGAACCCCCGAGAAGGGTAACAGGGATAGGAATTCTGAGGCCTGTGAGGCCTTTGACAACCAGGCCTCAGAATTGGGAAAGAATTTCACGTTCTGGGGACTTGGTCCGTCCACCAAATACTCGGTAGAGGCTGTTTCCTTTTTCTGACTGTGGCTGTGTCTTCTTGACTATGGTTCTGTGTTTAGTGGGTCTGAGCCTCTCCCAGGTTGCCAGTCTTCCTGTAGTTTACAGCACTACACCAGGCAAGTGAAGAGGAAGGAAATTATCCCTGATTGGTGAAGGTCAATTTGAGGGTAAGACCATCTGGGTACCCTAAGAGGGGCGGTGGTGCAAGTAGAAAGAAACCAAAGATGTCGATAATCTAGGTTGATGTGAGTCTGAGTATATTTGTTGTATTCTTGGGGCTGTGGTGAAATGGCACGCATTGTGTGTGTGTGTGTGTGTGTGTGTGTGTGTGTGTGTGTGTGTGTGAGCGGTGGGATGGGCTGGGGGAGAATGACAGAAGGAAAGCCTATCAGATAGTTTGGTTATAATCCTCCTCTCTCAACAGTACTTAGTCCCCATGTTTTCAATCTGTCATCCAGCAGGTCTGCTGTAGCAGGTGGCACCACTTGAAGTGAAGGAGGAAGTTTCCTCAGATCAGTAGAGGTCGGTGTGGCTTTGGGGGCTGACTGTAATGGGGGAGGGGTTGGAAATCTGCCTCACTCCCCAAATCTTACCTTATTTCCCTAACATCCCTCCTATTTCAGGCTAGGGAAGGGGCAGGCATGTGCATGTTTTGGATGGCATAGAGAAGTTTAAACAAATCTGACAACCTGGATAGTGAATCAGGAAAGCAAGGAAAGAACAGTCAGTCCTTCAAGCCCTCAGTTCTCACCGTCTCTGGTCTCTCGGCAGATCACAAGGGTTATTGGGTGTGGCACAGCTCCAGGGGAGGGAAGAAGAGGCAGACTGCCTGTCTGGAGGAGGTAAGTGCAAGGGTGCCACTCCCTGGGCACATCTGAGGTTGGCATGGCTGAGGACCCAAAAGACCCTATGGGTTCCATAGACTTGGGGAGGGGAGGGTTGGGAAGGGTAGGTGGTGGGTGAAATGAGTAGTATGGAATTTATTAAAAATCTACATTTCTTACCAAGTACTCATTTACTACTCTCCTGCCCCACTCTATAACTCCCTGTATGGGGCAACACAAAGAGAAGAGAAACTCAAACCCCATTTTCTTCCTCTGTCTCTAGGTTCACCTCCAGTATCATCCATTGTGGCCTTGAAGTGGCTGAAGACATCCTTCTACAGGCCAGCACCCAGGCCCACAGTTTCCCCCAAGACTGAGTGACTACTCTGTTCCTTGGTCCCTATTACTGTCAGGGACGATTGCATGGGCTACGCCAGGAAAGTAGGCTGGGTGACTGCAGGACTGGTGATTGGGGCTGGTGCCTGCTATTGCATTTATAGACTGGCCCGGGGAAGAAAACAGAACAAAGAGAAAATGGCTGAGGGTGGGCCTGGGGATGTGGATGATGTTGGGGACTGCCCTGGGGCCAGGTACAATGACTGGTCTGATGATGATGATGACAACAGTGAGAGCAAGGGTATAGTATGGTACCCACCTTGGGCCCGGATTGGGACTGAGGCTGGGACCAGAGCTAGGGCCAGGGCAAGGGCAAGGGCTACCCGGGCTCGACGAGCTGTTCAGAAACGGGCTTCCCCCAACTCAGATGATACTATTTTGTCCCCTCAAGAGCTGCAAAAAGTTCTTTGCTTGGTTGAGATGTCGGAAAAGCCTTATATTCTTGAAGCAGCTTTAATCGCCCTGGGTAACAATGCTGCTTATGCATTTAACAGAGATATTATTCGTGATCTGGGTGGTCTCCCAATTGTTGCGAAGATTCTTAATACTCGGGATCCCATTGTTAAGGAAAAGGCTTTAATTGTCTTGAATAACCTGAGTGTGAATGCTGAAAATCAGCGCAGGCTTAAGATATACATGAATCAAGTGTGTGATGACACAATCACTTCTCGCTTGAATTCATCTGTGCAGCTGGCTGGACTAAGATTGCTTACAAATATGACTGTTACTAATGAGTATCAGCACATGCTTGCTAATTCCATTTCAGACTTTTTTCGTTTATTTTCAGCAGGAAATGAAGAAACCAAATTTCAGGTTTTGAAACTCCTTTTGAACTTGGCTGAAAATCCAGCCATGACTAGAGAACTTCTCAGGGCCCAAGTACCATCTTCACTGGGTTCCCTCTTTAATAACAAGGAAAACAAAGAGATTATTCTGAAACTTCTGGTCATATTTGAGAATATAGAGGACAATTTTAAATGGGAAGAAAATGAACCTACTCACAATCATTTCAGTGAAGGTTCACTGTTTTTCTTTTTAAAAGAATTTCAGGTGTGTGCTGATAAGATTCTGGGGATAGAAAGTCACCATGATTTCTTGGTGAAAGTAAAAGTTGGAAAATTCATGGCCAAACTGGCTGAGCATATGTTTCCAAACAGCCAGGAATAACTTCTTGATTTTGTAGTTTAAAAGCAGCACACATTGTAAACTGTTCCTTTTCTCCAATTTGTTTATATGGTAAAGGAATCCATCCAGCTACCAATTTTGAGTAGTGAATATCATATTGTATCATCAATGCTGATATTTATCTGAGTTGGTTTTTAAGTCTAAGCTGGATGAATGAATGTCACTACATGTTCTGAAAACATGTTTATTGTCTTTTTTATCTCACTGCCTACATTGAAATATTTGTAGTATTCTGTATAAGTGACAGTGAACCAATTCATCCTAAGTAAGCTCCCTCCTGTCATTTGCATTGACTTCATTTGTGTATCATCAATAAAATTGTGTGTTAATGCTAGAAAGAAAAAAGAAAGAATGAATCTTTGCCCTTTTGTTTATAACCTAGTTGGAAAGATAATAAACATAGAAACAAAATAACTGAGAATATCTGGAGAGTATACCCATTGTCAAATATGCATTCTCAGAGCACAGAGGAAACAAAGGCTTCTGTAGGATATAGTAGCTACAGATTCATGGAGGAAGCAGCCTTTTAAATTAAAAGGGAGTAGGGTAGTTAGGGCATTCCATGAGATGAGAGTGAGGGGGAACGGGTGTCAGAAAGGCATGGAGGTAGGAACTCTTCCTATGACAGTGAGAAAATTAGTCTGCTTAGAGTGGAGCATGCAGGGAATGACAGTAAATAAATTTAGAAAGGCATGTGAAGCCAGTTGGTGGAGAGTTGTTTGAACGTTACTGCAATGAACACAAAAACCACTAAATATTTTTAACTAGAAAGAATAATTGGAATCCACATAAAAGTCTCCCCCTCACCTACTGTGCACTATCCACAGAGGTGTGGCAAAATGGACCCTTTCAAACTTGTGGTGGGAATGAATTTACATTGGAACTAAGTTTGTGGAGGACCATTTGGTAATACATATTATAAGCCTTAAAATATGTGAACCCTTAAGAAAATAGTTGAAAAATTGATCAAAGACTGCATATACAGGTATGTACATCCCAGCACTATCTAAAATAGTAAAAATTGGAACAAGTGTCTAGTACATTGGATTGGTCAAATAAATTAAGGAATCTTCAGATGGTAATGATAAGTGTATTGATTTAAATCCATACTGCCAGGAAGATATTCATCATGCATTGTTAAGTAAGAAAGGCAGGTTTAGATAGTGATATTGAGAATAGAATTTCATTTTTTTAGAATAATAAAACATATTTAAGTAGACATTAAAAATTCTGAATTATAGACACCCAAATAGTAACTGGTTATCTTTGGGTGGAAGGATAATGAGTGTTCTTTTACCTTTTTACTTTTAAATTATTGGTATGTCCTTATTTATCTAAAATGAATATTGAATTTTTTGGAAATTTTTGAAAAAGGAAAGTGTTGGGAATGAAGTAGGTGATTGGAGCATATACTAAATGGAAAAAATATTTAGATTAAAAATGAGATGGGTTAGAAGTTTTCTTTCTGAAATGATAGATAAGTGGTGAAGATGAGGCTCATCAGGAGGATTAAATGAAGTAATACATGCAAAATACTTACAATCTTCTGGCACATAATAGTTAATTAAGAAAAGCAAGCACCTTTAATTTCCTAGAGTGCAGAGTTCATAGTTTTTTTGTTGTTGTTGATCTTTGTTTTGCTGGGGGCATTTTGCCATGTGTCAGTGTCATTTAAAAAATAGTAACAATAAAGGTTAACACTTATTAAGTGACTGTTGTGTAGAGTTCTGTCATTCCTGCAAGGCAACTGTTAAAATAATTTATCAAAGAACTAGTTCTTATTCTTTTTATTTCTAAGGACTCAAATTATTTTCTCAAACATGATTTTACCAGCTCCCAAAATATATTCCCAGTCAGTTTGGAGATATGCTGCTTTATATGTGAGACCAGGAAAGAGTAAAATTCTTTGTTTAGTTATGATCTGGTTTAAGTCCCAGGCTTCTATATACTTACTCTAATGTTCTCTATAGTAGACGAAAGCCCAGGGATTCATTGGCTTAAAGTTGTTGGGCATGGTGATCCCACCAAATTATGCATATGTGGGGACTCATTTGACACCAGTGTTAAGAGTGGGGTAAGGGAACTAACATTTTTCTTGTTCTAATTAGGTAGGAGAAAAAGATTTGGGAGGAGAAGGCTGATCCACTTAAAATTGAGTTTGAGGTACCTATGCCAAATCCATATGGAGGCACTCTATTATCATTTGAATGCATTGATCAGATGCTCAGAGGAGAAGACAAGGCTACAAATAAAGATTTAGTAGCCACCAGAGGATGAATGATAATTGAAGACATGGAAGTGGATGTGATTCCTAAAGAGAAGGTATGGAGTTAAGAGTGGAGGGCTGCAAAGAGAACAATGTAAGGGACTGTGGCATCTGGGGAGAGAAGCATAGAATTGAAACTGAGTGTATATACTTCCAGACACTTTTACTATCCATATACCTATAGACTCAATACACAAAATTGGACAACACTGTAGATAAATTTTCAGAGCCTGATTTAAAAGTTTTTCTGTTTTTCTCCTAAATGATATTCATTGGAGATACTTGAGAAAACAGAGACAATGAGAACAAACTTGTCCCCTTTCCCAAATTTGTAGCTTGAAGATCTATGAAATATTTTCATTAAGCTGTGCTGAACTTTGGTGCTGAGTGACTTTCATGCCTGTGGTGAAAATGAGGTTAACTTTGAGCAATAAAAAGCCACCATGAGGTAGCGGCATAGGCCTGACCAGCATCCCTGTGCTCTTGCAAATCCTTTGTTTCCTCCCCTCCTTTCTTCCCATTCTTCCCTCTCCCTCTCTTGCAAGTCTATCTTTATTTCCTTCTTCTGGGAGATTATTGGCAGTAGTCTCTCTCTGTCTTTTGGAGTGAATATTTAATTCCCATGATACCAGATCATGCATCAGCAGGCATTTAGCATAGAATAATAATGGTGGTTGCTGTGGTAATATGGTGACCCTGGGTGTGACTGAATGCCAAGAGTTTTTGGAACCCTGTTGAACAGACTGAGAAGGAATTACTCTTAGCATGTCACAGCCCTATGTGCCCTGCATGTACTTTGATATTCCATGCCTGCAATTATTTAGAACCAAATCACCCAGACTTTGGGAAATGTTATGTGAGACACGTGTTTGACTGCCTGGTTTAGGCAGGCCACAAGGTCAGCCAAGCCAAATGATGTTTTCATGTTTTCACATGGGAAGTTGCCACTCAATCATTTTGGGAAGGGCACAGTTCTAGGATTGTGCCCATGATTGTGGTGGCAGCTCAGGGGAACAGGGATGAGGTAGTGACTTTTCTTTATTTTTAATTTTTAAAAAATATTTTATTTATTTATTTTTAGAGAGAAGGGAAGGGAAGGAGAAAGAGAGGAAGAAAAACATCAATGTGTGGTTGCCTCCATGTGCCCCCCTCACTAGGGACCTGGCCCACAACCCTGGCATGTAGGCATATGCCCTGACTAGGAACCGAAATGGCGATCCTTTGGTTCACAGGCAGACACTCAATCCACAGAGCCACACAAGCCAGGGCATCCTCTTTAGAGAGGATGGCAGCTCCTGGGAAACTGAGGAAATTAGAAACTCAGAGGATATCTTGCTATTTGGGTTTTGTTCTCCTGTCATGATTTTAGAAATGTAAGTGTTCTATTTCAGTCAAAAGTATTCAAAGGCAATTTTACAAAGATGGAGTACAGTTCTAGTATAAACTGCTGCCCCAAACATATTTCATGGCTTAGAAAACTAGTTTTATTAATTCGTCTTTTATTTGCCTTTAAAAACACATTCCAAATGTTGGTATAGCAAATTGATGTGGTTCAGGCAAATTTTGTATGTGTGCCTCTGGGTAATTTATCTGCTATGTTCCCTTGAGAATGGCTTTTCTAAGAATGATTATTTTCAATGCTATTTCTTCATACTCATTTTAGATCACATCACAGGCTAAAGGTTTCCTCCGGATTCTGTGTTTAAACTGTGTTTCTGCCTCATCTTTACACCAGAACTATCTTGCTGCTGTCCAGGGGTGCAGAACTAGGATATTGGTCCCTAGTCTGCCCTTCCCTGAGGGTGTGGTATTAATCAGAATAATGGATATTTACTTTCAGAGTGGTATGCTTCCACACTTGACTCTCTCCATTGGGTTTCAGTCCTTGTGTTAAGGGCTGAGCAATGTTGTGTTTGGGGATAGGGATCAGGGAGGGGAATGGGAGGGAGAGGAAAAGAAGCTTTATTAGAAGAGTAACTACCTTGACAGGTTCATGCACTTATAATTCAATCTACCATTGATAATGAGCCAAGTATAACTCTCTGGCCCTATTGACCATTTACATTTTAAAAAATGAAAATGTAGATGTAATAAAAGCATCTTTGTTTGGGCATAAAGCCTTGTGTTTATTGAGGATTTCTAGGTTCACAGAAAACATAACATGCTATCAAATGGGCTGGAATTTATTTTTGAAATTAAAAAACAGAATGATAATTTATATTATTTTAGGAAACATAATTACCATATAGACCCAAGTGCTAGTATTGGCTGCTCAGAACGTTCTCTTCTTCAGATAAGTCTACATCAGAAACAAAATTATCATCAGAAGATTGTTCATTTAGTGCTTGGGAAATCAGGTCAAGCTGACTTAGCTAGTTGTTAGTGCCATCAAAGTAGGAGAGCCTAGTGTATCTATGTCTTCTGTAGGAATTGGTTTGTTGCTGAAATAGAATGCTTGTATTCAAGAGCTTGAGCACATTTCTGTCTGAACACAATTATACATTTGTATGCCTAGGAGCCCCTTTGCCAAAGGCAGAGCATCAGTGGATGGTCATTTTATGACTATTAAGTTGTATTATCAATTAGCCTTCATACAGAGTTTGGGAGATGCATACTTTTATAGCAGCAGAAATCTCTAGTATTTGTAATGCATTCTCATCTGCCTGTTGATTAGTCTTTCTTTTTTTCTGGATTTTTTTTATGAGAGATAATAACTTGTTACTAAAATTTTTCAAATCCAAGCAAAATGAATTGTCACCTCTTTATCTTTCCATTTTCATTTCAGTCTTCTCTTTGCTAAAATGTGATTTAGCTATGCTTGTGCTAGTTTTTGTGACTTTCTTTCAATAAGCTGTAACAAAAATCTAGACACAATGAAATGGACCCATAAAACAAAACTTTTAATTTTTACTTTCTTCCATCACTTAAATGAGTAAAATGGATTCTTTTTTCGATATTAGAAAAGATGGAATCTAGGCAAGACAAATAAAATAATATTTATAGTATTTTATAAATCTTCAGTCCATTCAAAGTGACTTGAAGAATGACTCTTTATAATCAGTTATTAAATAACCTCATCAATTATTACCCCTTGTTAACCTGATCCATGTAATCTATAGCCAAAATTGGAAGTATTAAAATTATACCATGTCACTTATGGAAGTTCAACATTCTGGTTGATTTTCTTTTTGTATAAAGGTTAAAACCTTTATGTTATAAATGTCATATCTTGTGGATGTCACACATATATAGGTACATTTATTTAGGTGGATGTAGTTGTATTTGGGTGAGTATTAAGATATTAGTAACCCCATGAAATTGCTTTTCACCTATTTTAAATCTATGGCTAGAAGTCCCAGATATATCTTTATCAACTTAGAAAGGGGAAAAATTGTTGTCTGAGGAGGAAGGCTATATTTTAACCCGTGCATTGGTGGACAGGATTATGCATCCAACTGAGCATAGTGTGAGATGGTTTTGGAAGTTACCAGCACTCTGTGAAGTTATTTTTCACAATGAACTCTATTTTATTTTTATATAATCTTCAGTAGTTTATAATCTTTTATAGTTTATAAGATTAGCATATAATCTTTTATAGTTTAAGGAAACATAATCTTTATTATGTTTCCTTAAACTATAAAAGTAAATCATGCTTATTAAAAATTCAAGCAGATAAATATATGTTAAAACCTAAAATTGCCCTCTTCTCACCCATCTGTAGAGTTACTATTATCAGTGTAATATGTTCTATGCATATACAAACATAAATGATATACATATACACATTTTTATCAGAAAATAAAGTCTTTGTATGATTATGGTTCTGTTCTACAACTTTATTTCACTAAAATATATCACGTGTACCTTTCCATGCACATCTTACCTCATTTAAATTTGCGCATTGTGTTTTTGTGATATGACTACATTTTTATTTATTTATTTTTAAATATATTTTATTGATTATGCTGTTACAGTTGTCCCATTTTCCCCCTTTCATTCCCCTCCACCCTGCACACCCTCTCCCACCCACATTCCCTGGCTTTAGTTCATGTCCATGTGTCATAAGTTCTTTAGCTCTACATTACTTATACTATTCTTGCCCTCCCCCTGTATATTTTCTACCTACCATCTATGCTACTTATTCTCTGTACCTTTTCCCCCTCTCTCCTCCTCCCACGCCCCTGTTGCTAACCCTCCATATGATATCAATTTCTGTGGTTCTGTTCCTGTTCTAGTTATTTGCTTATGCTTTTGTTTTTGGTGTGGTTGTTAATAACTGTGAGTTTGCTGTCCTTTCACTGTTCATCTTTTTTATCTTCTTTTTCTTAGATCTAAGTCCCTTTAACAGTTCATATAATGAGGGATTGGTGATGATGAACTCCTTGAACTTGACCTTATCTGAGAAGCACTTTATCTGCCCTTCCATTCTAAATGAAAGCTTTGCTG